CACACACACACACACACAGCGCCTCACTCTCACACACACACACACACTCTCACTTACAAATGATCATGGTAGTATACAGTCGAGTCCATAAGTATTTGAACAGTGACACAATTTTCGTAATTTTACCTCTGTACACCATCATTTGGGTCCCTGGAGGACTAGTGGTTAGGCCACAGCACTCTCACGGCTGTGGATTGGGTTCGATTCCCAGCCAGGGAACCGACCCCAGTGCAACAGTGCACTCTCAGTGCCGGTCCCAAGCCTGGATTAAAATAGGGGAGGGTTGCATCAGGACGGGCATCCGGCCTAAAAACTGTGCCAAATCAAATACTTGGACCAATGATCCACTGTGGCGACCCCTAATGGGTGCAGCCGAAAGAGGACCACCACCACCACCACCACCACCACAACAATGGATCTGAAATGCAGATCAGTCAAGAGGTGACTGAAGTGTAGACTTTCAGCTTTAATTCAAGGGGTTTAACAAAAATACTGCATTAATCGTTTAGGTATTATAGCCATTTGTTACAGTCCCCCCATTTTCACTGGCTCAAAGGTAATTGGACAACTGACTGATAGCAGTTTTCATGAGAAATTAAGGAGATAAAAGGTCTGAAGTTGATTCCATGTGTCTAATTTGCATTTGGTAGCTGTTCATGGGAACTCTCAATATGTGATCCAAAGAGGTTTCGATGCAAGTGAAGGAGGCCATCATTAGACTGACAAAACACAAACCTATCAGAAAGATATCAGAAAGATAGCAGAAACTTCATAAGTGGCCAATTCAACAATTTGATACATTCTTAAAAAGTAGGAATGCACTGGTGAGCTCGGCAACACCCAAAGGCCTGGAAGACCACAGAAAACAACTAAAGTGGATGATGGCATAATCCTTTCCTTGGTGAAGAAAAACCCCTTCACAACATCTAGCCAAGTCAAAAACACTCTCAACAAGGTAGGCATATCATTGTCAATGTCTACAATCAAGAGACACCTTCATGAATGTAAACACAAAGGATTTACCTCAAGATGCAAACCACTGGTAACACTCAAGAGCGGAAATGCCAGATTAGACTTCTTGCATCATTTAAAAAAAATAATAAAATGCCTGACCAGTTCTGATTAACTTGCACCAGAATTATGGGAAGAGAAGAGTATGGAGAATGAAAAGAAGGGCTAGGGCTAGTGATAGTAATTTTAGTAATGAAATTGAAATTCAGCAGGAGTATAAATAGTGGACATGATTGTTTTTCAGAGACACACACTGCAGAGATGTCCAGCTTCGTGCATCTGGGCAAGTCTCAGCACAGAGAAAGTGTTTTTTTTTTCCTCCCTCTCGAACTCTCCAAAAGTGACACAGAAATATATATATATATATAT